AAGTTCACAGCAGCAGCCAAAAACCTCGGTGGTAATCAACAACAGCAATGGAAACCAAACTCCCGGCTCTTCAAACTTTCTCGAACTAGGCCGCGATTACTACCTAATGACGCTGATTAGCCGAAGATCTCGCTTCAGGGCGGGAACTCGCTACAAGCGGCGAGGGCTTGACGAAGAGGGTCGCTGTGCCAACTACGTCGAGACGGAGCAGATCTTCAGCTACGGCACGCACACGGTGGCCTTTGTCCTGGTCCGGGGCTCGGTCCCGCTCTTCTGGTCACAGGTTGGCAGCAAGTACCGGCCGCCGCCGAGGTTGGAGCGGACGGAAGCGGAGAATCAGACCGCCTTTCGACGCCATTTCGAACACGAGTTTGCCATCTACGAGGGCGACAGCGTGGTGGTCAGTTTGATTGAGCAGACGGGGCGGGAGAAGATTCTGGGCGACGCCTTTCTGGAGCATGTGATCCGCATGGATGACGCCCGGCTCGCCTATGTGGCCTTTGATTTTCATGATTACTGGTACGTCCTTTTTGGGCTTGATTTTGATAAAAATCTAACTCATATTTTGTTGAAGTCGTGGGATGCGTTTCGAAAATGTCTCCCTCCTCATTGACCGCATCTACGAGTTCATCAAGGACATTCGCTACTGCTGGGTCGATGAGGACGGGATGATCTGCGAGCAGCGCGGGGTGTTTCGCATCAACTGCATCGACTGCCTCGACCGGACGAACATCGTCATGACGGCCATTGCCAAGGCGGTCATGGATATTCAGGTAATCCATCAAAAGATAACCTCTCTCATTTGTCAAATCTAACCCATTTTTTCCTCCCTCCCAACAGCTCGTCCGCCTCGGTCTCCTTCCGCCGGAGGGTCAACTTCCGGCCAACAGCCGGCGGATCTTTCAGCTGATGTGGGCGCACAACGGCGATACGATTAGTCGGCAGTACGCCGGAACTGCAGCTTTAAAAGGTGACTTCACTCGGACCGGAGAGCGGAAGATTAGCGGCGTCGTCAGAGATGGAGTGAATTCGGCGAATCGCTATTACCTGAACCGCTTCAAGGACGCCTACCGCCAGGCGGTGATTGACATTATGCAGGGGCAGGCGGTGGCGGAGGCGTTGAGCTCGCCGGAAAATGAGAAAGGAAGCTCTGCCTCATCCTTTTTATCTGCCGTTTCCGGTGGAGTTCTCAGCAAGTCCGGTTCGAGCAGTTCGATTTCGGGGATGGCAAACTCAACTTCTACCACCTCAGCTTCGTTGTCCGTCAACGACCCCGAGTACCATGAGCGCATCAAGCTGGTGATTGAGGACTGCAAGAAGATTCTGGTGCCGCAGGAGGAGGTGATTCTGGGCGGATGGCCCCTCGTTGACGCCGATCCGGTGACGGGGACGCCCCTCAGCTCGGTAATGACTCGAAATGCCACCTCTGAGCTGCCTGAATCGGAGATGGACACCGTGCTGATACTCACCAAGGACTGCTACTACGTGGCCGACTACGACGACCAGACTGACCGGGTGGTGAAGTACCAGAAGGTCGCTCTGGAGGACCTGGAGAAGATTGAGCTGGGGGCGGAGCCCAACTACAACTCTTCGGGTCCTTTTAGTCGGGGATCATCTTCATCATCCTCTTCTCGAGGTTCTCCTCTGGTCAGCTACGCCCTCCGCCTTCACTACAGCATCGCCGAGCAAACCGGCTACTACCACGTCTTTCGCAGCACCGGAACGCGGTTTTTCAACAACATGGCCATACCGATTCGAACCAGGGAGGAGGCCCTCGAATCGCTGAAGGCCATCGCCGAGTCCTTCAAAGTGGCCCTCAGCGTGAAGCAGTGCAATGTGCCCTTTCACGAGCTGAGTC